CCCTGTTGTCGGTGTTGTCATTATCCTGTCATGTTTGACATGCATGTCGTCGTTAATATTACTATTATTATTATTATCATTATTATTATCATCACTATCACTACTATCATTATTTATTTTATTTTTACATTTCCCTACATACCTTCTGACTAGTTTATCAGGGTAATTATTAAGTTTCAACGCTTTGCTTATATGCCTCACTTCCCGTCTTAGATTTTCTTCGGTACTACTTAGCTTTTGTGCTCTATCATTTAAGCATTTCACCAATCCTATTTTCACTGACATAGGATGTGATGATCGGAAGTCCAAATATCTGTTTTAATGTGCGGGATTCCTGTAAACACTAGTGTTTAACTCCCCATCTTCTTTCTTTTTTACGCTACAATCTAAAATTGTAAGCTCCCCTTCCTGACCACCCAATTCATAAGTGAATTGAGTTACATCCCTCAGAATGCTGTAGACATGACGTATTCATTCACATTCGGACAGATGTTATGCACATTTTCAACCAGAATCAATGATTAATTACCAGACATTAGTTCGTACATTGCACAGACAACGAGAAGCTTATTTGCTGTAAGTTTTTCCAACTAAATGAAGGTAAAATTATTTCCACCAACACTACTAGACATTCATTTCTGGTTAAAATTCTTTCAGCAAACTGATTTCAACGACCACTTGAAGATTTCAACCTGAATGTTCTATGCTATTTCGTTTTAGCTGACTCATGAAGCATTTGTAGTTTGTGATAAAATGTTCAAATTAAATAACTCCTTACAGGGTGAAATGTCCATTACTAATAAATACCATTTGGAGTATTCAGGCTTTATGATTCACGTATTCACCTGAATTCAATGTAACTGCACGAAATCTGTGTGATAGAGGGTGACTATCTCTCACATGTTATATTCACCTTTTCTCATTACATGCAGTTTTGTGAAGACATACGTCACATGTTTTATTTGGCATGTTGGTGGTTCATTGGTAAAATATTGGCCAACGACGCACGTTGTTCCGGGCTCAGTCCTCAGGTGAATCACTTCTAAACTTCGTTGAGCCGGTGGTAATTTTGTCGCCAGGCTAACAACATCACTGCGTAAAATCTAAACACCACTGCCACTGAAACTTCAAAGATCAGGCTTCAACAACTATTTTCCACTCGGAACGCGACGGAATAAATTCAAATTGATAATATTTGTTTAATTTCAGTGTAATTACAATTTCCTACGGTATGACAGTCTACTGAAATTATTCCTGAATCTACACAGAATGGGCTAAGAAGACTGGAGACTCTCAGGTATCTTCAATGTTGACCATCGCACTTTCTCATTTATAGACACACTGTTGTACTCATTACCCGAGAAACAGAGATGAAATCAGTTTCGTTATGAAATCAAATTCAGTGACCAGCTAATGAAGAAATCACACTCCATATTTTAATAAAGCGATGAAACATGCGGAAGTCAGTCGTCGATTTCAGTAACCTCCCAGTCAAATGCTTCTTAGTGCAGTTTTCCTACACTTGTGATCATCATATGCAGTTTGCAAAATGGTTTATATTTGAATCTAGTGACTTTTGTTAAGAGGTGTAGACATATGCTGAATGCCATAGCATTCAAATTTTGAGTTGAATCAGAATAAATTCATTTGTCTGAGGTACATCTAAAAGTCGACAGAGGTGATAAACAATCTCCTGCCAAATCGAAACATATATATCACACCTTACCGCCACAAGTATTCGTCGTCAAGAAAAGCACTTCATACCAACTATTACAGTGAAGGTGTTCATTAGCTTACATGGTGTCATTCGATGAAATGTAGTGTACATTTAGCCTGTTCGTGATTTCCACTGCTGAAATGCTACTCATGGAATATTTCTAAATATCATGCACTAACCTGTGTTAGATATCAGTTGACACATTTTATGCCAGTCAAAAGTACTGTAGCGAAATTCTATCAAAAACTGGGTACCTGAATTTCACTCGGTATCGTCGGTATTATGTTCGGTAAATTTGTTTCAACTTTCCACTTCGACAGTACGAGTAAACATAACAATTTCATTACTTTGTAGGGATTTGACTGATTGATGAGTGCGTACTGTAGAAGAGCCCCTAGCCAGGACGAAACAGCTATCCAGTACTCCCAGGTTTTCCAGTGATTCTCCAACCGATGTCAACTCGCAATTTCATTACCCTTATCTCATAATCTACCCAGTATGGATCTCTTTTATACGGTGCTGAAAATACCTGTGGCATTGTGTTATGATTCCCAGGAATCCTCAAAATCTCCCGGAAAGCACATTATAACTCCCATCATCCAACGAATTCCGGTGTTTGTAAAATCAATTAATAACTTGCTGACTTTGGCTTTGATAAACATCACTAAATTATTTCAGTTTAATTTCAAGTGGAAATAAAGTTAATATACATTTGACGTCAAATAAAGCATAGCATTCAGAAATATTTGTCTATAGTTTATTGAGAAACATGTTTTGGAATTTATCCGTTTTCTTAAACAGTCATGAAAATCGATATCAACATAAATTAATTCACGTACTTTGCAATTCATCTGAGAATAATGTTTTGAATCAAAGTCATGAGTGTGTGAACACACACATGCATTTGAATGCGATTCTACTAAATGGAACTTTGAACCTGTTTATTACTTCGGTGTACCTTGAACTGCTCAATATGTTCTCCATCGAAATGAGTAGAGTGCTTAGAAACACTTCAGCTGTGAATATCGTTTTTGGTTCGACTTTCCTAATTCCTTATTTGATATGTCAATTGGTGGTTACGTAATGGTCACTACGAAACACATCCCATCGTAGTATTTTTCACTTCGTGATTCTTCATCATAGAGATATTTCAACCATTGTAACAACGAGCGCATTCGTTATGCATTTGTTAAGCTGCTACATTATCATGTAAGTGGATTGAAGAGGAATTCCAAAAATCAGGGAAAGCTACAATGAGAGTATTCTTCATATGAAACAGGACAGATGTTATCTCATTATGAATTTGGAGATAAGGTATTTCTGTTCGACCGCGGACACATAATCATAAGGTGGGACAGGAATATTATCATACATACAAATTCGGAACTCAAGTTTATTTTGACAAATCTGGCAGTTCAAAGGATAAAACAAATTTATTGATCCCACCGTCACACTTTTATTCATTGTTAGGGTTAGGACTCACACATTTACGGATTAATTATCACGTATGTTTGGAAATTGCCCAGTAGATTTATTTCTCTGGCTCCAGCTAACACTACTAGTCACATTTATCCGCAATCTTAAGGTTCCTGCTCTTCAGTAAGCTCCCAGGTATTAAGTCCTGACACTAGCCCTCCATAGATTTAACACACTACAAAGGAGGAAGTCGTATGAGAGTTCATCGTATGTGGTTTTGAGTGTGCAACGTGTTGACACCATGGTGCTACTATGACTGTAGTTAGTCCGTTTACCCTTTAGTCCCCCAGTGCAGTTTAAAAGAAAGTTAATAACATTGAGAGCAATAATTATAATATAACCGATGGAGAATATGTAAATTGAAGAAGAAAGACTAACAAACAAATAGATGCATTAATCACGAGTTTAAATGAGACCCATTGAAATGGCGCGGCGTATTAGGCTTACATCTTATTTCGATCAAAAAAGATGGTCCACTTGGACACGGTTCTTGTGTTGCTGCATGATAACATGCTTCCAGTTAAAGCCTTTCATCGAAGATGCAGTGGCCACGGCCGCTGGCAAATAATCCTGGCGGCAGTAAGATCAAATAAAAAAGAAATGGTAGCGAATTCCAGTCAATCCCTTGTAGCGCATGACCATTCGTGAACTCTTACTATGAAGTCTGGTATGACTTAACTGCAAGATAAGTTTCTTTGGATAAATCAAGTTATTCTGAGTCTTATAAGCAACAACTAGATCATGACTAAGCTGACAGTAGCTTCCGTCATATGGTTTATACCAAAGGTCCCAAACATGATTTTGGGCCTAAGACCGGCAAGTGAACTGCCAAAGTTGTTAAGTATGCTAAAAACTCAGAAACGTACCGTTTTAATTATTTCAGCATTGTGTCACACAGAGATTTCTATTCTTATTTCCTAGCAGCTTTTGACTCTTTCACAGAAATACTCATTTGAGAAGTTGTTTCTCAAGATAACTCTGCCGCTTTCACCGATTTTCATAATACACACGTCGATTCGCCACTTGTATTCACATTATAGATGAAGAATTATGTGATGGTGAAATGGTGATCTGACTGCAGTGCCATAGACTACTTATCGTCCCAGTATACAAAACTGTGGATGCTGATTGATAGTTCCAGGTGTTAATGTGATGGAATGATTTTAGATGGAAGACGAACTTCGTTCACTAAATGTTGATCCAACTGCTGAATAGTGATTTCAGGCAAACTGAAGTGTTAATCAGAAACACCTGCGTTCTAAACTGTTTGAAAACATGATTAGTTTGGTTTCCACATCGGTGAATAATACACTGTGAGTATTCATCGAATCAAGCAGAACTCAAGAAGAAAGAAATCGACACATCAAGAGAAGTCGAATTAGCTTTATATGTACAAAGAACAAATTGTTTTCAAATGATGAAAGCTTGCATTACAAAAAGAGAAATTTGATGCCATCTCTACTTATAAATAAAAAAGTCATCGATGCATGAGTTCCGGTGGGGATAATATATGCTATCACAGTTGTACACTGGCACTCAGTTTGCGCATAATTATTATCAAAAGTAGAGAGATTGACGTCTAGTGAGAAATATCGCTAACTAGTTGCAGTTGATTGGATTTCACGCATTGTTCTTGTCTGTCACACACTTGTATATGTCTCACAAACATTAGGAACCATTTTATTTCGAGCATCAGAATGATAGTTACATAAAGACTGATTGATTAACAATAATACTTTTCAACAAAATCACAAATAAACGAAGGTCATTTTGCAGTGATTTATGCTCACAGTTTACTGAAGTGGTCTGCTTGCTAACGATTATATAAATACACCATTTGTGAAAAAAACAACAACAAAATATTGGAATAGAAGACTGTGAGTTCATTAACTTATATTATGTGGGCATCGTTTTAACGGATTATTGTGTGCATATATCACAGGTTTTGATTTTCATAGTGTCTGATTTTCATTATTGTCATTATTATCCCATTGACACACACAGATTCAACAGCATATCCCCACTTTGTTCTGTTCTACGTGGTCCTATTTAGCTGGCCCACAACCTCTCAACTCCTCAAACGATCTCCTCCATTTATCCCACGTACCCATGCCCTACTTATCGTTTCCTATGAGTATGCCGCTGCTTTTGTTGGAGGATTGGTCCATTGGCAGTTCTGTGCCTGTTTCTCGTGGTGGTATTTCTGGATGAGTTGCAGGCGGTGGTCAGTTCAGGAATCCTTTGAAGTGATCAGCTCATTGTTTCCTTCGCACTTCCTCTTTGAATAATACGTCTCCTTCAATATATTTCACTGGTTTCATCTGAAACTATCTCTTCCCGGGTAGCGATCTGGTTATCTGGTGTAGTTGCCTGAGGTCTCTCTCAACTGCAGCCTGTTCTGTTTCATTTGCCAATATCTCATAGAAATATCTTTTGTCTTTCCCAGGACACTTCTCGGATTCTTCATTCAGTTCGCAGCACACTGAACTATAGTTCTTCTACTGTTGATCATCTTCTGTCCCACCATCAGTCTCTTCTTCATTAGCTTCTGTATGTCCGTAGAGAGCTAATCATTCTCTTGCTTCTTCTTCTCCCTGTGTATGACAGATGCACAAATTTCCTCAGCGGTACTGCGTAATGTCTGTAACTTTGTTCTGATGGCTGTAGTGATTGGGTGCTTTGCAGTTTCATCCTTCACTTTCTAGTTGTTGAACTTCAATTTCGGTTTATCTCTTTCTGCTTTGAAGGCTTTAAACTTGATTTTGAGGGTTCCCTGGACTAAATAATGGTGTGAGACTACATCTTTCCTCCTTCTCGACTTCGTTCCCAACGGTCTGCGTCTTCAACTTTCTGAGATTAAGACGACGTTTATCTGATTTTAATTTGGCCGTCAGGTGAAGTCTATGTCGCCTGGTATATATCCTTGTGCTTGTACGCGCTACCTCCAGTCACCGAAACAGTCAAGGCGCGGAAGTCTTCGAAGAGTTCTCCATTCTCATTCATTTCGACGAGAGCCTACCGACCTATTGTGAGTTTTCTTCCTGTGTCGTTTGCCCCCCAACCTTGACCATCATTCTTATCCCTTGTTAGAAATTTAATGTCTCCATGTGGTGTGTTGTCTATTACTGTTTGCTGTTGTCCATGGAAACCTTCCTTCTTCTCTTAATCTGTGTTGTTCGTGGGTGTGTAGAATCGAATAATTGTAACTTTCTTCCATTTGGGAACGAATCTTGTTGTTAATATCTTGAAGCAGGATATTGGTTGCCACTGCATAAGAGCTTTCAGTGCTGTTAGTGACATCGTGATAAGCCCTTCCTTGGTATGCTCGTGATTGTTATTTGGGAGACCGGAGTAGATTATTGACTCTCCACCTGCCCTCACAGATTCCTAGCACTTCTATGTCATATCTTCTCATTGTATTCCCAATTTGAGCAGCCTTCTCAGCCAGTTCCTAACATCCTTCAGACAATCCATGTCACTATGCGTATTTTTGCCTTCATTGCTTGAAGACATATTGGCTAATTGGCTTCGCGGAAGCTTTCACTAGCCTGCGTCATTCCGTCTCTCCGATTCCGGCGAAGAATAAATTCATTTTTTATATTTTGGCTATGCGTTTATGTATCCGCGTAGCGATAAGCTTGATCTTCGTGGATAGGGTCACTAGCCCTACACCCAACCTTCCCTCTTTTCAAGGCTTAGAATTGGCTAATAAACTACGTGGGGTTAATTTCACAAAAAGGTAGTGGTAAGTGGAGTGATGATATGTGGTAAATACTGTTTTGATGAACTATACAGGAATACTTCTAGTTCCCAGTAAAGCAGTAGTTTTGAGATCAAAATATGGTTTCCACAAATCCGTAACATTCAATGACACATTCCTTTCTCATGATTTCCGTCAAAGTTTCGCTCTTTACTGGATGTAGACAGAAATAATAATTATGCTTCAGAAAAGTTGAATTTATTCATTCATTTTCAGACTAACAATACACAAGCAGCAGTTGTTCATCGATGCAGTGGTTAACAATATCTGACCTATTGAAGGCTGGAATGTAGGACAATATTTCACTTCATTCATTTCACTTCCAGCAGCAGCAACAGCAACAACAAAAGCAACAGCAGCATTTTTGATAAAATTCGGCCGCACTTATTAGCGGTTGTTGTATTTTGGTAAGTCATGAATAATAATATGTTTCTCCCTGGATTTATCCATCAGATGTCAAACTTTCAACGGATAAGGAGAGAGTTTGACTGGGATTTTACTGCAACGTATATTGCAAAACCGCTAGTCACAAATCAGTGGTAAATTTTCACTGATAGACAAACTGACTGTGCCACTTCAACGACTGCAGAATTATTGAATTGTTATAGGCTCAAACTTTCATATAATATTCAGTGCTTGAAATTAGAGCATATTCGGTTATACTGCTCTGAAGCTTAAAAGTGAAGTTTTGCTTAATAAGTTATCCGTCGACGTACTTAGCTTCTACTTAAAAAGATTTTAGTTCAGTAGTCTATTTGCAGAATGGTGCGTATTAGACGTTGATGAGCAACGCATTTTTTGTAGAATTTTAGGCTCTTCTAGTGGTAGATTGGATATCGAGAGCATGTTCCTTTTTTCAGTCAAAAGTTGACAGATGCATTTCCTTTGTTAATTCAAGCTATGTGTATTAGTTGACGTGTAACTGATAAGGCAGATGTATTGAATAAACACAAGGAAAGGCCTATCTCAAATTTTCCGAACACATACTGATAATTCTTTGGTTGAAAGCAAGTAACCTTCTTGAGAAATGCACTCACAAGACATCTAATTGAAACAGGACATCAGGTGGACATCTTGAATCCTTCTTTTACAACAGTAAAGAAACAAACAATTTCAAGCTACTTGGAGGCACAGAGACCATTGTTATGAAACTGTCACAATCGGAATTATCTATCCAAAAAGAAACTGCAATTAATCCATTTCTACCTTGATCTACCTAGATCAGATTTCCTCGTCAATTCATGAAAACATCTTCTAATTAATGCAAACGTTGATTTCCTTCTGTTCTTTTTCCGTTACATCTTCATCAATCAAAAGCCACATTTAATGTATCTTATATCTGACTGAATGAGTTTAACTCACAACTATCATTTTTCCTATTTGCTTCGTTTATTGGTATTTGTTCTAGTGAATTACGTAATCTTATATTTCATGTATCACTGATATAAGGTCGGGGGTAGCAGATTGTCGGAATATAAGAATTTAGCTAAGGTAGGAATGGTTGACCCCGAGAAGATAAGTAATTTAGAAAAAACAGCGATTGCACTGCATGCATTAATACACAACCACACAATAGGGTGAGTGAGAGTCAAAATTCTAAAAAGTAATATAAGTAAGTGGAGAAAGAGGTTGATTACTGAATCTTTGATCATAGAATCTACACCCAACACGTGCAATAGGAATGACTTATCACTCAATCAAATCAAGCGATAAAAAATAATGGAATTATATAAACGAAGTTAGAAAGTTGTGTGAGTGCCTTGATATGATTATCAGCAATAAATTGTGCTCGAAATGTCATCAGTAAATATTACTGTATAACACTGTGAGACTTTATCAAAATAAATTTTACCCATAATGGAAGTATATTTCATGTACCGCAATATCTTCTTGTTACTCTTACTGCTCATCTTTTGTCTTATACTAGAAACTTCGAACACACTACATACATATGAACGGCGATGTTTTCATATTTTCCTAACTTAAAATTTCGATTCATTACTATATGCCATGATCATTCTTAATTACTATTCAGCATTTTATCTTCAATGAACTGTAGTAAAACTGCTAAGTTTCATTATTCAGGCTGCAAGCAGTTGATAAGAGATCAACGAAATAAAACTGATTCTCTATGGGTAGTTATAACTGTGTTCAAAAACATTCTTATGTCACACTGACTGAGTCGACTTTAATGATAAGTGAAAAGCGTACATATATATATATATAATTCCTATCACAAAGTAATTTCAGATTGGTGCTGATGTAAACACTCAAATTATTTTCCATCACAATTCTCTTCAGCATCATTGGTGGCATCATGACCATGTCCATATTGCTTTCCCGGAGATTACGGATGCATTATGGAATTTATATCTTTTCAGTAGTATTAGCAGTAAGTTGAGAATGTAGAAAATGTTTTCTTGCATAATAAATTCTTTCATTAAATGATTTTCATTTCTCACCTCACATATATGGATCAAATTTAACTTGAAAACAAACTAAACAATCTCACCATCTTTGGCATGGAATTGTGAATAGACTGGAAGTCATCATATTCAGTGTAAGGTGAAAAATTTCCTCAATTATTAGAAACACTCATGTTAACCTTCTCTGATTCGAATTAGTAATCAACTTAGCAGAAAATGAATCAGATGTACTTCATAGTCAGCATTGAAGAAATGATCAGGTAAAGAGACAACACTGATCACAGTAAAGGTAAATCATCTTGAGAGTTGGAAGTCAGTGGGAAATTTGACGCATTAGATTGACATGTTTATTATTATTATTTATTATTATTGTTCCCTTGGGTTCCTAGTGGAACATAGGGCTTCAACTACACGTCTCCACTTGCTTCTGTCTTCTGCTGTACTTTTCACCTGCATCCATGTTAGTCCATACTGTTTCAACTCTTCTTCACACGATCTCCTCCATGTCACCCTTGGACGTCCCACTCGCCGCTTCCCTTTCAGGCTCCACTCGAGCTATGGCCTGACGCGTGATGTCACCCAACGGCCTCCTCAGCGAGTGTCCAATCCATCTCCACTTTCTCCTGCATATTTGTTGAGCGATTGGTTCTTGTTTTGTTTCTTCCCATAGCTTCTTGTTTGTGATTCTTTCCGGCCATCTGATCTTCAGTATAGAGCCAGCGAAGACAGTTAGTTGTTGATAAAGGTCTGCAACAGGCTGTTGGAAATATTTTTTGTGACCCGCCAAGTTTCTGATCCGTATAGAAGAACTGACTGACTTGACGTTTGTATTGAAAATCCGAATTTTGTTGTTGATGTTGAGTGAGCGACGAAGATTTCCAGATTGGTTTCAGGTTGATGAATGTGTTTCTCGCCTTCCTGATTCTCGATTTGACATCCTCGTCCGTTCCACCTGCCTGTAGTTGAGACAATGCTCCCTAGATAAGTGAATGAAGTAACCTCTTTCAAATCCCTCCCGTTGATGGTGATTGGCGCTGGATGTTGCTGCTGTTGTTGTTGGTTAGCTATTTTCATAACCTCCGTCTTGTCTATGTTCACCTGGAGTCCTGTCTTTGCTGCTTCTTCGACCAGTTTGTCGGTTTTCGCTTGTAAGTCTTCGATTTTGTGTGACCATAAACCATGCGTAAACAAGAATCGTGATGAGATCAATATTAAGAACTCTTTGTCCTATTATTATTATTGTTATTCTCATGCGTTCCAAGTGGAACGTAGGGCTTCAACAACACATCTCCACTTTCTTCTGTTTTCTGTGTTCCGTCCTCTTCAACTGGGTCCACGATTGACCAAACTCTCTCATCTCTTCCACACACGATCTCTTCCATGTCAGCCTCTTGCCGACAACCAACTCGTCGCTTTCCATTTGGATTCCACTTGAGCTATGGCCTGCATTGCGTGAGATGTCATTCAGCGGCCTCCTGAATGTATGTCCAATCTATCTCCACTTTCTCCTACATATTTGTTGAGCAATCGCCTCTTGCTTGTTGGTTTGTTCCCAACCAGAGTTTCTTGTTGCTTATTCTTTCTGTCCATTTGATCTTCAGTATGTAGCCAGCCAGCAAAGTGGGCAGCTGTTGGTGAAAGTCTGCGACCTGTTGGAAATCCTTCTAGTGACACGCTGGTCAAGTTTCTGACCTGTATAGAAGAACCGACTTCACATTGGTGTTGAAAATCCGAATCTTGTTCTTTATGCTGAGGCGGAGTGCAGAAGATTTCCAAACTGGTTTCAAGTTGATGAAGGCGTATCTTGCCTTTCCGATTCTGACTGGCTTTGACATCTTCATCCGTTCCACCGGCCTGTAGTTGAAACTATGCTTCCCAGATAAGTGAAGGAGTTTACCTCTGTTAAATCTCTCCCGTTGATGGTGATTGTTGCTGGTTGTTTTTGCTGTTGATTTGTTATATTCATCACCTCCGTCTTCTCTATGTTCACTTAGAGTCCTGTTTTTGCTGCCTCCTTCTTCAGCCATTTTGTTGGTTTTCGCCTGCAAGTCTTCGAGTTTGTGAGACATTAGACATATATCATCTGCGAAATCCAGATCTTTGTAGAGTCTTCTTATCGGTCGTCCAGCGTATTCCTGACTCCTCGCCCCCAACAGTCTGACGCATAATCTAGTCCACCACAATTAGGCATATCATCGGTGATAATAGGCAGCCAGCCTTGTCTTACTCCTGTATGCACTTCGAACACCTCGCTGAATTTTCCGTTGTGGATCAATTGGCACGTGGCATTGTCATATAGCCAGCTGTTGAATGAGGTTGACAAAGACTTGAGGTAAGCCGTAGTGTTGAAGTAGTTTCCGAATTACTTCTCGGTCAATGCTGTCTGTCGAAGCCGTTGTCTTTTCGAAGTCGATGAATTTGTTGACGTAGAGATTTGACTGCCATTCTATGTTTTGTTCTGTGATGACGATGCATAGAGTTGAAATTTGATCAGCACATGATTCGCCTTTTCTGAATCCAGCTTGTTCCGGTGGGGCTGGCGGAGTTCTGCATGCAGTGCATTGTTTATTCTCTCCAGGATGATGACATTGTCCTATAATGGACCAAAATGCCTTTAATGAAGAAACTGCGCTGAGTCAACGACAAACATTCACATGACCCTTTGATAATAAAGAGATGGATGGAAACAACACCTGACAATGCAAAAAATAACATCTCAAGTTTACTAACACACTGATAAATAATCATGAATTGAAATTCATATGAGTTTCAGTTCATATCACTTGCTTACTGACCTGAAAACAGACTTCACGTCAATTTCCCAATCAAATATGAATCTGATGACAAATAGCCGACGTCATTTGTTTATAAATAAGTGATGATCTCAGAAACTCTGCCAGTAATGAAATATCATGAAGTGAATAAATGTGTTCAGTGTGATATGAACACATAAATCACATGTGTTACAATCTACTTACAATTTGTGAAATTTACTGATATGTTGTTGTTATTGTCCTTTCTAGTTCCTTTCGTGGACAGTCGTTGTTTCTATATTTTGTTATCAAATTGGCCTAATATACAGCTTGATTTCGCTCGCTTTAACATTAGTCGCAGGAGGAACAGCAATTTTACTTGGTTTCAAATCAAGACGATTTACAGTCAAAGGGTATTACTTCTTCTTCATACTGCCTATCATACCATTCATCATTGGAAATGTCTTCTACATTCTTTTACGAATATATGGTGTAAGCGGCTTATCTAAAGTGTGAATTTTGCAACTGATTTTCCTTATTTTATATTATACCATGCACAAATACATTGAAGAATTTCGTAGGAGGACATACATTGTCTGGCGACCAATCATTTTGAAGTAAGGGACGTGGTGACGGTGACTGGATAATAAGTGGAGAGAGAGAGATCGCATCAATCACATATTTGTATTTGCGACTGGACTAAATGATCATAACTCTGAATAAACGCTGCTACATAACCCTCACTTTTCAGTCAAAATTAGCTACACTAGGAAAAGGGCTGTCCGAAAGTCAGTGTATCCTAGCTGTATTTCATCCATAGGAGTTGGAACCCAGAACCTTTCGGTTACAGGGCAAGCTTGTGGACCAGTCAGACACCAGGAGACGACCTAATAACTAGTGAATTCAAGTCAATCCCAATTCGCTGTATACAGAGTGCAACTAATGGCCAGTGTCATCCGCAAGAAACTGTTATCTTCCATGACATGATGGACATTACTGGTTACGAATTCTTACTAGAACTTCCCACAGACAACCAGTCATTAGTGAGCATCACACTGACTTTCAACGGTTCATTTGCAGGGACTTGATTGGTTACAGATTTGACCAGGAATTAGGTGTCTCTATTAGAAGAATACTTGACGAGAACAGTTTATCATCAGAGGTGTTGTCGCCTGATAAAATCACATAAATCAAAGATGGCATTTTCCCAATGACTCGCTTATCATCAAGAACCACACTAAAAGTACAGTCACATAGCAGTGTTCATCAGTAATCTTTCTTCTATCAAATACACCATATGCAATCTTTCAAACTGCTCTTCACACCCTTCGTTTTCTTATTTCAGTTTCCATTCGACATATTAGCTGGAATATTCCTCGACAGCTCAATAACTCTTGTAAGTTCCGATGAAACATATTTAAAGTTGTTTATACTGAAACTCATCAATGTGTTAGCTGTGTGTTTCATCTGCTGCCACATCTGATCTTTGTTGGTTTAGTGTCTTAACGCAGTAATTTCCCAATTTTACAGCAGGTGAATCACAAATACGCATTGTAAAAGCATATAGGAAGATTTCACTCAGCTAGATGGTGCGTCGGTGGCACAGCGACTAGGACGCTCACTGACCATGCATATTGTCCAGGGTTCGCTCCCCGGCTGACTCAATCCTTTACCTCGCTAAGCCAGAAATAAAGCTGGTAAAGAGGAAAGGTTGGGCATGAGGCTAGCGACCCCATCCTGTAAAAATAAACACTGCTACCGAAACTTCAAGCCTCTAGCTTGAAGCCCTATGTTCCATTGGGGACGTGAAGGAATAAAAAGAATTAAAAAAAGATGGTTCACAGTCTGACATGGAAAATCAATGTTAGCTACGTCAGCACTTATGACACTAACCTGAAATATTTTGGAAAATATTCACATTTTGACTTTTTTGAAATTGCAGGCTATATACTTGTCTACAGTGTGGTTAAAATATTCTCGTGATAAAACAGTCACTTCGCCGGTGTTTATCGTCTTTCTTGAATTCACTGAGTTGGTGGCACTGTTCCTGGAATCTGCTATCGTATTCTGTAAAACTTGAGGAACTATTCTCACTCAACAAGTTGGAATAAAAAAAGGCTGACACTGTGTCAGTTTTCGACCTTTCATGATATCTTGAATAAATAAATGGTTAAATCTATACATTGACTTTTGTCATGAAATCAATAAATTCCTGTATCAGTAATTTCTTTTCATTACTTCTTAAAATTACTTCACAAGTGATCCCCATATGTGTGAGTTTGTAGCCACAGCTTAGTGTTACAAGCAATTTGAGGGAACTGTCAGATTTTGTTAAGTTTCGTCGGGAAAGTATTTCTACTTTATTATCTCTTGCAGTAGACTGGATAATGCGACAAACAGCGACGGGCAATGAGCAAACAGGCATAAAATGGACCCCAACAAAAACTTGGAGGATCTGGACTTCGCCGATGACATATGTCTGATTTCCCACAAACTGGAAGATATGCAAATGAAAAGCAACAAGTTGGCAGAAGAAGTATCCAGAAAAGATAGGACTTCAGGTGAACATAGAGAAGACAGAGGTGATGAAGATTTCTGGGCAAAACCACCAACAGCAACAACAACAACAGACAACAATCAGCATAAATGGGAGGAACCTGAAAGAAACAAACTCCTTCACCAACCGAGCTGGGAAGCATCGTTTCTACTACAGGCGACCGGAAATGACGAGGATATCAAAGCAAGAATCGGAAAAGCAAGACAAGCTTTCACTACTCTCAAGTCTGTGTGGAGGTCAACAGCACTCAGCATCAAAACGAAGATAAGATCCGGATTTTCAACTCCAATGTGAAGTCAGTCAGTGCTACCATACGCATCAGAGACTTGCGTCATAAAGAGCATCTCAAACAAACTACAGACCTTCATCAACAGCTGTCTTCGCTCAATACCCAAGATCAGATGGCCGGCCAGAAAAGATCAGCAACAGAGATCTCTGGCAATGAGCGAACCAACTCAGCAGGAACCGATTGTGAAACAAATAGGCAGGAAGAAATGGAGATGGATTGGCTGGTCATACTCTGAGGAAACCATCAAGTGACATCACTAGACAAGCCATTGCTCGAGTCGAACCCGAAAGGGAAGTGGCGAGTTGGTCGTCAGTGCTAGGGTGACATGGAGGAAGTCATGTGAAGAGGAGGTGAAAGCGTGTGGGCAGACTTGGAGCCGAGTGAAGACTCTAGCAGAGAAGCGAGCGCAGTGGAGACGCACGGCTGTTGCCCTATGTTCCTGTAGGAATTAAAGTTAACAATAATAATAAATTCCGCTAATGGTTATATCAATACGCCATTTTTGAAAATATCAACCGAATATTGAAATAGTCATGTGTATTCCTTCAAAAAGTTATTCGGGACCATAATCCAACCATTATTATAACCACACGTTGAGTGACGCGTTTAATTCCCGAACTCAGGATTTGTCTAAAATACGGTACTATTTTAAATGTAAAATATGAATTATAATATACCATCCTCATTGTGAGGTGTGTGTGACTGAGAGCTGTCAAATCACAGTCCATGCGCGTCTATAGGGAAAAGCAGAAAAGCTGTGTCACTGGTGACCCACACGTAGATCCAAACAGTGGGAGAATGCCAGACACAGTAACAGGCACATAAATAAAGCATTTACAAGCAGATAATAAGAATAATTTTTGCTTTATTCCAGAAACAGTACTAGTGGTACAGTGTGGAATTTTCAGCACATATCTACAATGTCCAACTATGAGGAATAATTACCATAAATCAAACAGAACAAAAATTCATTGAGTTAAAGTTCAAAAGCAAAGTCATGTTTAGGATTTAAAAGCTGTTCTACTACTTAACATTAGTAAGTAGTATAAATTAAACACAAAAGAAAGAATGGCAAATCGCAGATTAGAAAGGATTTAGAACACAATATTCAGTGAAGGGACTCTTTTCAACAAATTATCTAGCAATCTGTTCGATTATATATATATGGCTTTTAAGAAATTATATCTGGCGAGAGAATCTGATCAAAGGTGTGAATATATGAAATAAAAATAGTATGAAATGCAATTAAAATATTTGTGATTATAATCATAGTTTAATGTCAATTGGCAAAATAATTAATGTCGTATATAGAATAATACATATGCTGTGTAGATGTTGGAAAGGGATGTAAAATTATAAGATGGCTAATAAAACATGTTACATAATGTGGTGTGAAATTTGATAAGATAGAATTCAATTTCGTAAAAAAGTATTTTTGGATTTAGAATGACAAGTGGGACAAGTGGAATTGATTCTAAGTGAGAATATTAATAATAATGATGATCTTAGTAATGAGGGAAAGGTACATAGAATAATTGAATAAACGAAATAAAAAAAATAAGAAATGTCTATCCCTCTACGGCCAAGGCAGAAGTAGGGATTGTACATACTTCCTTTTTAACACAAAGGTTTGGCTTAAATTCATGAATGGACAAGGACTCCGCTGTCTTTAGAAGTTCATAACGAAGAGAACGCGGCAAGTTACCATGGATTCGGTAGATGATCTTAAAATCATGTTCAGGGTTGTCAGAGTGACAGGAGTCGATCAGGTGCTCTAGAATATTGCTATGCACACACTTCCTCTCTCCCTTGTAAAACCACGTAGATGGAATATGTTCTCGTATCCGTGTGGAAAGCGTCCACTAGCTACGGCCAATACATCTTGCTCCACAAGAGCAAGTGAAACGATAGATGCACACGGAGGTGGCCAGACGGGGGAGCTTATCTTGGACAGAGGTGGAAAACAACTTGCGACTGGTGAAAGTCATTTGTAATTTTGCTGCAAAGAACGTCTTACTGACTGCATTAAAGAGACGGTTTATGAACACATCTGAAGCCTGATCACCTTTGAATTCCAAGTTAATGGATAAGGTTTTCTTTAGAAATGAGTGGGTGACCACATAAGACTGCTTACCTATCATGTTACTGTCAATAAATCGGTTAAAGTAACCGTTTTCTGAGAGCGTGGCTTTGAGGAAGTCAAGTTCTGAGTCAACGCAATCAGAACTACAAATGTTTCTTATACTTAAGCACAGCGAATGAATTAGGCTTCTTTTTCTGGAGATAGGCATCCAACTATAAAAATTAGTTAGTTGTCCGTTCCATGTACGTTTTCGGTGAACATTGTGTTCTTAATGCTACAATGGGGATCATTAAATTATAGAAAGGATTTAACAAGTATACTGAGTTTATGAGCATATCTCATATCTAAATCGATGGAGGTTTATACCATAAGTTTCGAGTTTCTGAGTGTATTATTTTGCAGCGTGGTAATCGTGAGTACAGTCACTTATTATATTCAGCTGGCAATTATTATATATATATATATATTATGCTGTGGCTGCAAGTTGAACATAGGGCTTCAGGTGCACATCTCAGTTTCATCCTATTTCCTGCAGTTCTCTTTTTAATTATCTCTACGACTGCCTGTAAGCCCTTATCTCCTCCTAAAACCATCTCCTGCATTTCACTATGAGGCTCACGCCTAACTCACCGTTTCTCACTCGGATTCCACTCGAGAGATGACTTTGTTCGTTATGTGAAATAAGAAGGAGACAATCGATATCAAGAGCCATATATTGATATTTCCGTCTTATTTTTGAGGGATAACTTTCAGACAAAATGGCGGATTCCTCTTCTTCGACATGTGAATAGGAATAAATCGGTAATTCAGAACCATATTTCTGTTAAAGGTGTTTTACGGTAATCAGTAGAATTCCCAGGGGTTTTATATTGCATAATTTTTCGCGTGCAGATATTCTTTGTGGTAAGTACTGACAAAGAATTATGCCACACATTTTCGGACTAACGACACAGCCAAGAATCCTTAGCGTTTAATGTGGTTCATCACACCTGACCTGATGAATGCTTAAATGTAAGAGAATATTTCACTTCATCCATTTCGCTTTCATCAATAGGAGCAGTAGAAGAAGTAGAGACGAAACATTGTTTATCACGATTCTGATGATTGTATGTGGGTACGTGTATTGCACATGTATTTTACAAGTTAAACAGCACAATTTCAACAGATAAGGTGCGAGGTAGGAATGTTATCGTAGAGAATATAGAGAATCTATCAGTCTCAAAATGCTGGAGATGACTGTTTACTGTAATCACATTGTGTCGGCCGAATTCAACTTCACTGAATTGACAAGCAAACTGACTGTAATATTTCATAGATTGTGGAATCATTCACATTTTGTTTGATTGCAAACATTGTCTACCTAATCCGTCCTTCTGATAATCGGCTACTGAATGTGATATAATTTCGGTGAAACATGTGTGGATCTTCAAAGTTGTGGGTGAAACTATTTGGAATTCTTCCTTTTAATAATTTATCTGTTAATGTAATTAATTTCCGCATAGAAAAGATTTTGCTCATCGTTGAATTCGTAGAATGGTGCATATTAGATGCATATTTAAGTATCACATTATCTGTGGAATCTGAGGTTCACTTGAACTGTATGTTGCTCGCTACTAAAGTATAAATTCGAGGTGCTGATTATGTTCACTTGTTGTTGCTTTCCTGCTCAACGTTTATTTTTGAGCAAGTTACGACTATGACATATGCAGAAATAAAAGACAGATTCAGCGAAGAAAATTTTCTTTATCGACGAAATCATCTTCAGAGGCTGTAGAGTCGTATTTATATAATTTTGAAGACGTTAACATTAAGTTGTGGATTAATGAAATGTCTCTGTTGTAGTAACTTTACTGGTCGATTGTTTCGTTTGTAGAACTAGACTGAATTGCAGAGTGTTTAGGTATCATCATATGAATCAGCGTTTTTCAGAAAAATCCTACCATGGGTTCTGAATTTTAAGAAAAGACAGTTACCTCTTTCTTTCTTCATTAGGAAATTCCACTTGTCAGAAACTGTCATCTAGCCGAAATGGATTTCGTGTGTACGAAGTTGGTAGTAAGATATCCGATGTTGTGGACAGTTCAGTGAGAATTCGCGCATCAGTGTGCAACTGATATTTGTCAGGAATATGGAAAAATGTTCGGAGAATGCTTTCATTCTATACTTCCGAATTTCTTCAATGTATGACCATTTCTACTTTGTCTTCCTATCATCTCCATT